TATTTGTTTAATTTAACCTGGTTCTAACAGGCTGGTACCTTCTGGCCCTGGCCATGAAGTTCCCCGTGACTGTAATTCACCCAAAGCTCAGGATAACTGGATTTGTAGAAACAGCTTGCATCAAGAATTGAATTATGGGGGCTGGGAATGTGGCTTAGTTGTAGAGTGCTTCTTAGCATGCATAAGGCTCTGGGTTCGATTCCTCAGTATCACATTCACAGAAAAAGCCAGAAGTGATGCTGAGGCTCAAGTGGTAGCAAAAGCTCAGGGAGTGCCCAGGCCTGGAGTTCAAGCCCCGAGACTGGCAAAAAATAAAAGAAAAGAAAAAAGAAAAAACTGAATTATGGACAACAACTTGCCCTATATCAAGGACTTAAAATCTTGGTCCATAAGCACGTTTGCTCAGAACTTATGTTTTTCTAAACCATCATTTCAGACTTTTCAGACTCTGTGACTCCTTGGGTCCCAAATGAAGGTTTCTGGCAAGTTTATGACACATGCTTACACGGTAAGGCATGGAGGGCGGAGAACATCTGGGCCTTGCCCATGGATGCATACAGGCCATCATGGAGACATCCTCTGTCCCTGTGGCCTTATTCAGATCTGGTAGCTATACAAAGTGCTGCTGTCCTTGGAGAGATAAGCTTCTGTCATTGCTAAGCAATTGAAACTGTAGGGGTCTGTTATCACAGCACAGATGATATAAACCATCCTGACTAGAGATGTGGGGTAAGTACATTTCCTCCCATGCCAGATAGTAAATAGTGTCACAGTTAACACAATTAGGAAGCAGAATGAAGAGACAAATCAAGAATCCCACTCCTCTTTCTACTGCTGTCTTCCTTCCCCCACATTCTATCAGGTCTGTACTAAGGTTGCTGGCTGGTGGCTATGTACTATACAATGTACTGGGTTCTGGAAAAACTAGGATTTATTCAGGTTTTCTAAATTCTGTGAGATTGGGGCTGTTAATATATATTCTTTATTTTTTGTTAATATATCTTCTATGTCCAACTGACATAAGAATTTGTGTTGTAACTTGTCTAAAGAATGATAGCACTCTGATGAGCTCATAGGCAGTTGATGCTGCTTTTTCTTTTTGCCAGGCATGGGGCTGGGCACTGTCCATAAGCTTCTTTTGCTCAAGGTGAGCACTTTACCACTTGAGCCACAGTGCCACTTGTAGCTTTTTTGAGCAGTTTATTGGAGACAAAACTCTCATGGAGGGCTGGGAAGGTGGCTCAGTGGTAGAGCGCTTGCCTTGTATGTATGAGGCCCTGGGTTCGATTCCTCAGCACCACATAAGCAAAAAGAAAAAGAGCCGGAAGTGGTGCTGTGGCTCAAGTGGTAGAGTGCTAGCCTTGAGCTGAAGAGCTGAGGGACAGCGCCCAGGCTGAGTTCAGGGCCCACAACTGGACCACCCCCCCAGAAAAAAAAAATAGTCTCATGGAATTTCCTGCCGGGGCTGGCTTTGAACCACGATCCTCAAATCTCAGCCCCTAGAGTAGCCAGGATTACAGGCATGAGCCACAGGTGCCTACTTTAGGAGTTGCTATTTGAGGAAAATCAGATGTCTAATAAAGCAGCTCAAGAAACCTGTGAAGGCAAGATCTGGGGATAAATTCTGCGGGTATTATGCTTAGGCAATCTCATACTTGGGCTTTTTACTTCTAGGATTCTTCTAGTGTAATCCTACAGGTGGTGAACATTTTTGGGGTATTGGCATTTTCTATTTGGAGTATTTTATGTTATTATTTGGACTCATTTCAGTGCAGTCTTTTTTTCATTTTTCTTAAATTATGACACACAGCAGGGAAATGGATTGTGCGTCACAGCCATATAACTGATGCACAATCTTTGCAAATAAAAACATCTCATCTGGACTTCTCCGGAAAGCAGAAGCTAGGTTTGCGTGTAGGAGGTTCACTGGGAAGTGAGCCAGGGAGCAGGAGTGGCTAGGCAGACCAGCATAGCAGAATGACTCAGCTCCTCCATACCATGGCAACCGCAGCTCGCTTCCCACAAGTCTTTTTTTTTTTTTTTTTTTTTTTGTCGGTCGTGGGGCTTGAACTCTGGGCCTGGGCGCTGTCCCTCAGCTCTTCAGCTCAAGGCGAGCGCTCTACCACTTGAGCTACAGCGCCACTTCCGGTTTTCTGGTGGTTTATTGGAGATAGGAGTCTCACGGTCTTTCTTGCCCGGGCTGGCTTTGAACCACGATCCTCAGATCTCAGCCTCCTGAGTAGCTAGGATTACAGGCGTGAGCCACCAGCGCCCGGCCCCACAAGTCTTTCTGAGGAGCTCAGAACAGTATTTTGGGGGGATGAAGGGGGAGATGTGTTTATCTACTGGTTTGTCTGTGTAAGACTACAGGTTCTGTGGGTGTTAACTCCTTCCTTCCAGGATGCACTACCAGTGGCCACTGCATGGATTTGGCCAAAACATGCACAGTTTCTCTCTTTCTCTCTCTCTCTCACACACACAAAAAACCAGTTGAGGCCCACTAGCTCTCTATATGAGGGGGTCTATGAGGTCAGAACAATTTTCTTTTCTTTTTTTTGTCGGTCATGGGCCTGAACTCTGGGCCTGGGTGCTGTCCCTCAGCTCTTCAGCTGTAGACTAGCTAGCGTTCTACCACTTGAGCCTCAGCCCCACTTCCGGCTTTTTCTGCTTATGTGGTGCTGAGGAATCGAATCGAGGGCCTCATGTATGCAAGGCAAGCACTCTATCACTGAGCCACCTTCCCAGCCCCTAGAACAATTTTCAAAGTAATGTGAAGATGTTGTTTTCCACTCTCACTCTTCTATGAATATACAGTGGAATTTTCCACAGGCTAATGTCACCAGTTGATTGTAGAAGCAGATATGAAATCACAGCTATCTTTCATAAAGCCAGGCAGTAAAGAGATTGGTAAAAGATGTAAAACCTTTACAACGTCGGTGTGGGGGGGGGGGAAGTGGGGGGGGAAGGAGAAGGATTGGGATTGGGGGGGAGGGGGGAGGCTGGGAAGGGATGTGAAGGGTAAACCACATTATCCTGCCCATGTAATTGTAACCCCCCTGTACAGTATGTTCACAAATAAAATTAAATTAAATTAAAAAAAAAGATGTAAAACCTCTATTTGCCTATATTTTTATAAAAACTTCATAAAAATGTATTATAGCTGGGCACCGATGGCTCATGTCTGTAATCCTAGCTACTCAGGAGTCTGAGATCTGAGGATCACAATTCAAAGCCAGCCCGGGCAAAAAAGTCTGGGAGACTCTTATCTCCAATAAATCACTAGAAAACCGGTGCTGTGACTCAAGCGACAGAGTCTTGCCTTGAGCTGAAGAATGCAGGGACAGCACCCAAGCCCTGAGTTCAAGCCCCATGACCGATAAAAAAAGACTTGGGTTAAGTATGTAACAGAAAAACTATTGTTAGAAGAATGCAATAAGAATGTAATGGGGGCTGGGAAGGTGGCTCAGTGGTAGAGTGCTTGCCTTGCATGCATGAGGCCCTGGGTTTGATTCCCTAGCACCACATAAGCAAAAAGGAAAGAAGCCGGAAGTGGCGCTGTGGCTCAAGTGGTAAAGCGCTAGCCTTGAGCTGAAGAGCTGAGGGACAGTGCCCAGACCCAGAGTTCAGGCCCACCACTGGACCCCACAAAAAAAAAAGAATGTAATGTGGGCTGGGAAGGTGGCTCAGTGGTAGAGCACTTGCCTTGCATGCCTGAGGCCCTGGGTTCGATTCCTCAGCACCACATAAGCAAAAAGAAAAAAGCTGGAAGTGGCGCTGTGGCTCAAAGTAGTAGAGCGCTAGCCTTGAGCTGAAGAGCTGAGGGACAGCGCCCAGGCCCAGAGTTCAAGGCCCCACGACCAGACCCAAAATAAATTAAAAAAAAAAAAAAAAAGAATGTAATGGACCAGCAAAATTAGCTGTATAGTAAAAATGTATTTGGTTTTGTTTATAATTTCTAGTTTAATTTCTAAACATAACCCACATACAAAAAAGCTTTTTTGAGAACTCAACTTTTTATGTATTTTTCCTTTATTCATTTTTGTCAGTCATGAGGCTTGAACTCTGGGCCTGGGCGCTGTCCTTCAACTCTTCAGCTCAAGGCAAGCGCCCTACCACTTGAGCCACAGTTCCACTTCTGGTTTTCTGGTGGTTAATTGAAGATAAGAGTCTTACAAGGACTTTCCTGCCCAGGCTGGCTTTGAACCACGATCCTCAGGTCTCAGCCTCCTGAGTAGGGTGAACCACCAGTGCCCGGCTATTTTTCCTTTATTATGCTGGTCCTGAACAAATCCTTCGTGACCTGGCCTCAGATGACATCCATCCTCAGTGTGTTCCAGATCCACTGCTTACCTTCTCACCAACTCCTTCCCACCTTTCAGTCCTTGCCTTACCAGCTGCATACTGAGAAGCTCACCTTGCCCCTCCAATTTTTATGATGGCTCCTTTTATTCTGTTCAAATTTCATACTTAACTGCCTCCTTCAACGAAGCCTTTCTTGGACACGTCATCCTTTTACTTTCTAAAAGGCTGCCTTAATTCTCTGCACATCACCCACCACATTTTGTTTGCTTGGTCTATCTCAATACAAGCTCTTAAAAAACAAACAATATATAATCTCTTTGAGAGAATCTTGTCTGTGTGTAGAAAAATACCTGCTACCTGGTAGACAATAAGAATTCATGAATCTCATGGCACAAATATTAAGCGTATCCTTCTACCAAATCCAAGAGTTTGAATTCTGGAACCCTCAGGATGAAAAGGAAGAAAGATACAATCGCCCTTTGCAAATTACAATACAAATATCTCTTCAGAATGATTTCTTGATTATACTTACACATTTTTTTAGGCCTTTATAAGATTCAGACATGACAGTACACATCTATAATCCCAGTGACTTGTGTATTGAGGCAGGAGGGTTGAGAGTTTGGGATCAGCTTGGTCTATGTACCAAAATGCTGTCTAAAAACAACCAACAAACAAACTCAATAAAGTTTGCTGTAGAGTAATGCAGTAATGCATTTTATTCTGTCCAATAATAACTCATATTTTAAAACATTTCCATTATTATAATAATTGAACTTAATATGAGATCAATTTTCATTTTTCAAAATGAGATATAACTAAGACAGTTAATAGAATCATGACCAAAATATTCCAAAATATGTACACAAAAGCTTGGTTTCAGTGTGCTTACACATGACTCAGGTTTTGGTGTAAAATTCTTTGGCTAAAAGGAAGAACCTTTGGTTTACTTCACTAATAGGTATGTCTCTTAATGCTGGGATGGCCTCTTCTTGGTATTTCTTCTGCTGTTGGTTCTTAGCATAGTTATCTGTAGGAAAAACCAAAAAGCTGCTGACCCAAGCAATTACTTCTACAGCCTCCATGGCTGATGAAGATCTCAACATAGGTCACTAGGATAATAGTTGGATAAAGACAAAAATGGTGTTAAACATAACTAAATGATTACTTAAATCTTCTCTTTAGAAACATCCTATGGGTAAAGAGGGGTGAATGAGAATGTTGAAAGGAATGACATTGTATTCATAAATTGCTTTGTCCATGGCAACTCCTTTATACAACTAAAGATAATAAAAAAGAGTCCCAGCCAGGTGCCGGTGGCTCATGCCTGTAATCCTAGCTACTCAGGAGGCTGAGATCTGAGGATCACAGTTCAAAGCCAGCCCAGCAGAAAACTCCGTGAGACTCTTTTTTTTTTGCCAGTACCACTTGAGCCACAGCACTACTTCTGGCTTTTTCTGCTTATGTGGTGTTGAGGAATTGAACCCAGGGCCTCATGCATGCAAGGCAAGCACTCTCCCACTGAACTACCTTCCCACCTCCGTGAGACTCTTATCTCCAATAAACCACTAGAAAACTGGAAGTGGCGCTGTGGCTCAAGTGGTAGAGTGCTCGCCTTGAGCTGAAGAGCTGAGGGACAGCGCCCAAGCCCAGAGTTCAAGCCTGAGGACCAAAAAAAAAAAAAAAAGTGTCCCAATAAAATGAAAAAAATGTAATCAGCAAAGTACTCTTCTAATCTCTAACTTAGAAAAAATTCTTCATTCATTTGTAAAATGAAATAAAGTCTAATTTCTAGTTCTCCTGGGATAGAATGATATCCCAGCAATGAAGATGTATACTGACAGCATAAAACTACTAAGGCATTTGGTACAAATATTCATGTCAACTTTTCATTTTCTTTTTTGTACAAATTGTCTATTTTGCTGTAATACTGGCAGTAAATATGATTGGTTATTAGAAAATTTTAAATGCTGTAACTAATTTTCCACATACATTGCAAGAATAAAGGTTTAGAACACTTAAAAAAAATCATACCAGGAACTTAAAAAAAAAAATCACTTTGGGCTGGGAAGGTGGCTCAGTGGTAGAGTGCTTGCCTTGCATGCGTGAAGCCCTGGGTTCTATTCCTCAGCACCACATAAGCAAAAAGAAAAAAGCTGGAAGTGGCGCTGTGGCTCAAGTGGTAGAGCGCTAGCCTTGAGCTGAAGAGCTGAGGGACAGTGCCCAGGCCCAGAGTTCAGGCTCCACGACTGGACCCCCCGCCAAAAAAAAAAAAATCGCTTCATTTCCTAGAGAGCTTAGGAATCTAGTTAGCTTTGAACTTGAAAGGGAAACACTTGAAAAAGCAAACCTCACAAAACCATGCTGTGGTTCTTCTATCTATTTAACTGGGCTATAGTGGTCCTGAGGCTGATAGCCCCCAAATTCTCCTTAACAATGTCCACAGGTCCCCCTTGAGCAATAGGAACATACTTGATGTTGATGTACTTGTGTGTTTATCCAGAACATACACCTGTTAACTAGTGCTATAGTTCATCAGAATTTATTTCTTCCATGAATATACTAGTGTATATTCACATGTTATGTTCTTCATGCAAATATTTCCCTTGGTGTAATTTGTATTAATTTCCCCTACGTTATTTTCTTGTCCCAAAGTGTGTCTTGATTGCTTTTCTGATAAATGTGCTTCTATTCTCCCTTTCTCCCAGTACTTTATATAAATTTACCTGTGATTGTATGAATGGAGTTGAGTGGAGAGGTACTCATCATGTTAATTCCAAATAAGAGTAGATAACCAATCACTATTGTTATCAGGAGGTAGACAGGTAATGCCACTGCCCAATATCTGCAGGAGAGAATATTAATGTACACAATACACATCTCAAAGAGTAGAGTTACTTCTCAGTAGTCACAAAACATATTTTAAACACTGAAATTCAATTTTTTGTAATGTATGTACATACTACCCCAATAGCTCTACAATGTTATAATAAGAAACTGCAGTTTTCTCTCCCCTCCAAGATATCCTGGATTCTCATGACCCACCCACCCCCACAAAAACAAACAAACAAACAAATAAAGACTCCTGAGCTGTTCCTTCTGGGACTTACTCATCTCCATACCATGTGCTCATATTATTTCTTGATTTTTTTTCCCTCCAATTTCAGATATTTTCTCTGGATTTCCTAATATAGAGATGAGGAATTTGCCCCCTACCACCTGTTATGCTTACTGGTTATATCAGAAGTTTAGTATTATGACTATACAATATTTCCTACTGAAACCATAGTATACTAACATGTTTTCTTATATACATTTTTTCTGAGACTAGTAATTTTATCTTGTGGTTTGTGTGCTTAGTTTCCTGTGTACATGCCAATGCTCAAATTCTCTGATATGCCTCTCAATTTTCTCTCAACACAGGCAAACCTATTAAGTTCTCTATCTTGTCAAGTTTCAATAGATGCATTACTCAGCTATGCAGACGTTTACATGCTCCAGTTCAGTAAGGTGCTTCATTCATTTCCACACTCAGATCTTTTGGACTTGCTTGAAACTCTCCCTTGGCTTCTATGGAGTGACTCTATTTTCTACAGGGGAAGTTTTTTCTCTCAGTTATGAGGAGTAATGAGGGTATGCTTCAGAATATAATGCTCTTTAAAGATGTCTTTATCCAACTCAGAACTACCTTGTTAACGAGGTACTGATGCATCCCATGTCTGGGTCATCTGGAGTTCTGAGGTACAATGCCCTACCTCCCTCCGCCCCCCGCAGTACTGAGGTTAGAACCTCAGGGCCTTGTACTTGCTAGGAAGGTCCTCTACCACTTGAGTCTTGTCCTGAGGACTCCCCCTACCTCTTTTTTTTTCTTTAGTTCATTTCTGGATAGGGGCTGTGGTGCAGTGTTTTTTTGTTTTTTGTTGGGGGGGGGCGGCACTGGGGCCAGCCTCAGACCCAGCCTCCCTCAAAGCCAGGATTATAGGCATAGTGCTCCGCTTGTTGGCTGAGGTGGGAAGAGTCTAACTTTTTACCTATCCTAGCCTTGAACAGTGATCTTCCTGAGATGCTGGGATTCCCAAGCATGTGTCCTTCACATTGCTTCTCTCAAGCAATGTGGGAAGAGCATGAACTCCTGTCACAATCCAATTTCAAAATTTTGTTGAAACATTTGTTCATTTGTTCTCCTAGCCTATTCTTTATTTCTGTAGATTTATATCTTAAAAAAGTATTTTTTTCTGTAGGTTTATATCTTAAAAAGGTATTTTTCCTTATAGGAAAAACAATTTTTAGCAAGATTTTGAGCAAAAATGGAGATAAGCATGCATGTTTAATCTTCAATTAGACATGTATTTAAGTCTTCTGTTTCACCAGGTGCATCTATAATCCTAGCTACTCAGGGGGCTGAGATCTGAGGATCGCAGTTCAAAGCCAGCCCAGGCAGGAAAAGCCATGAAACTCTTTTATCTCCAAGTAACCACCAGAAAACCGGAAGTGGCACTGTAGCTCCAGTAGTAGAGCACTAGCCTTGTGCTGAAGAGCTAAGTGATAGTGCTCAGACCGATTTAAAGCTCCATGACTAACAACAACAAAAAAAAGTCTTCAGTTTCCATGTTGCTAGTCACAAATTAAAAAAAAAAAACAACAAAAAACTACCTAAGATTCAGGTGGTCTTAAAAGAATATGACCCTTCAAAACAGCATTAATTTGACTCTTATTTAAGAAATACAAAACTTGACAGGCACTAGTGCTCACGCCTGTAATCCTAGCTACTCAGGAGGCTGAGATCTGAGGATCGTGGTTCAAAGCCAGCCTGGGCAGCAATGTCTGTGAAACTCTTATCTCCAATAAGCCACCAGAAAACCAGAAGTGGTACTGTGGATCCAGTGGTAGAATGCTAGCCTTGAGCTGAAGAGCTGAAGGACAGTGCCCAGACCCAGAGTTCATTCCATGACCAAAAAAAATAAATACAAAACTTACTTTTGAGGCCAATAGGTTAAGCCTAAGGAGTGCAGCCAAGGTTCAGGAATAAAAGCCCACACAAGATAAAGTACTGAACATAAGGGAGAAGACAAAAAAAGTTAGTAAGGTATGGATCCAATCTAATAAGGCTCAGACACAACAAAAAAAGTTCCTCTGAAGTATCTGATTCTCTTAGAAATGATTTTTCCCTTGTCGCTAAGTATTTCCAGCTCCTTATGTGTATCTTTTCTTTTTTTTTTTTTTTGGTTAGTCATGGGGCCTGACCTCTGGGCCTGGGCTCTGTCCTTCAGCTCTTCAGCTCAAGGCGAGCACTTCACACTTGAGCCACAGCGCTACTTCTGGCTTTTTCTGTTTATGTGGTGCAGAGGAATAGAACCCAGGGCCTCATGCATGCAAGGTAAGCACTCTACCACTAAGCCACCTTCCCAGCCCCTTGTACCATTTTTTTGTAAAGCTTATCATAATTACCTTTTTTTTTTTATAATGTCTTTAACCCTCACACTGTATTTTAGGCAATTCAAAGGTACACAAATCATGCCTTAGCAATTGTCCTAATTCTTACTGTACCTTGTAATTTTCTTTCTGTATACTAGGTGTTCGCCACTTTACATCCCCAAGGGAGAAGCAATTACAGACCTTTAGTCTGTAATCTATTCTAGTTCTGCTGTTACAGGTTGAATTTCTACTTTATCTCCCAGACTACAATCTTCTTCCCCTAAGTCCTAAATCCTATGGCTCCCTTTATGGCTGTCCTGTATGATAACAATAGGTAAACTCTAAGCACCCACTATAAGCTAAGCAAATATCTACGTGCCTTATTTCATTTAATTGCCAATCCTGAGGTATGGATGTAATGTCTATAGATGAGAAATGGAATCCTAGAAAGGCTATACTGTCTGCCCAAGGAAACATTTCAAATCACCTGCATCAATAATCATAGAATTAGGTTCCTCCCTTCCTTCCTTTCCTTTCTTCACAAATGGAATCCTACTAAGTCTTTAGTGTCTGCCAAAGAAGATATATTTCAAACTACCTGAATCAATCATAGAGGTAGCTCCCTTCTCCCTTCCCTTTCTTTCTTCTTTTTTTTTTTAATGGGGTCTGGTCGTGGGGCCTGAACTCTGGGCCTGGGCACTGTCCCTCAGCTCTTCAGCTCAAGGCTAGTGCTCTACCACTTGAGCCACAGCGCCACTTCCAGCTTTTTTTCTTTTTGCTTATGTGGTGCTGAGGAATCAAAGCCAGGGCCTCATACATGCAAGGCAAGCGCTCTACCACTGAGCCACCTTCCCAGCCCCCCTTTCTTTCTTGAACTCAGTATAACTCAGGTACAGCCTGAGTGCTACGGCTATACTTCAGCTTTTTTGCATAAAAGGAGTATCTACCGCCGGGCGCTGGTGGCTCACGCCTGTAATCCTAGCTACTCAGGAGGCTGAGATCTGAGGATTGCGGTTCAAAGCCAGCCCGGGCAGGAGAGACCGTGAGACTCCTATCTCCAATAAACCACCAGAAAACCGGAAGTGGCGCTGTAGCTCAAGTGGTAGAGCGCTCACCTTGAGCTGAAGAGCTGAGGGACAGCGCCCAGGCCCAGAGTTCAAGCCCCATGACCGACCAAAAAAAAAAAAAAAAAAGGAGTATCTACCATTTCAGCTCCACTTTGATTTTTTGGAGGTTAACTGGAGACAAAAATCTCATGGACTTTCCTGCTAGGGCTGACTTTGAACTAAGAGCCTCAGATATCAGCCCCTTTATTAGCTAGGATTGCAGGCATGAACCACCAGTGCCCAGATGATAGTTCTCTTAATATGCATGTAATATAGAATTATATACTTCTATAATTCTAATAATAATGTTATCGAATAAGCTACAATAGTGAATCCTAAAGGATGGTATCTATCCTCCTAAGCTTAATATTTAATGGTAAACAGGGATGAATAAATTAATCTTTTAACTTCACTGTGAGTAATAAAGGGAGATACTGGAGTACATTTATTTAATTTGTCCAATAGTATTCTCCTTCTACTATAATGAAAACGATGAAAAGCAGCACATTGCTGGATGTTTTGTATTTCACTGTCTGTATGTGGCACAAACTAAGCACTCAATGAGTTCTTTTTCTTTTTTGTGCTAGTACTGGAGCTTGAACTCAGGGCCTCGCTCTCCTTTAGGTTTTTCACTTCAGGTTGGGGCTCTACCACGTGAACCACATCTCTACCTTCAGCTTTTTGCTTTTTAGTTGGGGATAAGATCTCAGGGGGCTGGGAAGGTGGCTCAGTGGTAGAGTGCTTGCCTTGCATGCATGAGGCCCTGGGTTCGATTCCTCAGCACCACATAAGCAAAAAGAAAAAAGCCGGAAGTGGCACTGTGGCTCAAGTGGTAGAGCGCTAGCCTTGAGCTGAAGAGCTGAGGGACAGTGCACAGGCCCAGAGTTCAGGCCCCATGACGGGATCCAAAAAAAAAAAAAAAAAAAAAGATCTTAAATTTGTCTGCCAAAGCTGGCTTTGAAATGCAATCCTCAGATCTCAGCCTCCTGAGTAGCTAGGATTACAGGTGTGAGCCACCAGCACCTAGTCTCAATGAATCTGACCCAATTTTTGGATGTGTGCATCATGGAACTTAAGCCTTACAATCACTGATTTAATTTATATAATTTCTATTCCTTGAAATATTCTTTGAGTAGGAATTTATAAAAATGACAATAAGAGCAGCCAACCTAGATTAAATACTTATCATTCCTTTGCATTAAGTACTTTACATAAATTATCCCAGTTAATATGTGGATTTACCTTCCAGTTCTAGCATTTACTAGCTTTGTGAGGAAGGGCAAGTTATTTAAACCCCTGTATTTTCATCTTTAAAGTTAGGACAACAATGACAGCATCTACCTCAAAGAACTGTTTGAAGCACAGATGTATTCAACAACCCACATATATCAACACTCATATACTGATGAGGAACCTGAAGGCCCAAGGTTAAATAATATGGTCATAGGTCAAATAACAAATCTGTGGCGGAGCCAGAATTTGACTTTCTCTAACTCTTTCATCCACAAACCTCACTAGGCAATGGCTACGGAGTCCAGTTTTATTTTTGGGTTATGGTTCAGAAAACCATCACTATTCTACCTTCCTGATTTTTACTAAGTTTTAGAAAGTTGGGTTGGCTACATTTAATTTTCTCCCTCATGATGATCTCATAATTCTCAATCCTGCTGGGTGCTGGTGGGTCTCATCTGTAATCCTAGTTACTCAGGAGGCTGAGATCTGAGGATCAGGATTAAAGCCAGAGCCCCAGTGGGGACAGGAAAGTCAATGAGATTCTTATCTCCAATGAACCACCAGAAAACCAGAAGTGGTACTGTGGCTTAAAGTGGTAGAGCACTAGCCTTGAGCAAAAGAGCTCAGGGACAGTGTCCAGGCCCTGAATTCAAGCCCCATGACCAACCCCCTCCCCCCCAAAAAAATTGTAACACCCAATCTTTTTGGGTAGGAACTTGGAGCTGCTGCATGAGTGGGGGTATGTTAGTTTCTCAGTGAGCATCTATTTCAAAATGGAATATTATGGGAATAAACAGATCTAGGATGTAAAGGGCTAGTGATACTAAATCTTTCGCTTCCAAACTTCCTTATGCCTTCATTTAAGGCCCTCTGCTTTTTGCTTGTTTTGTGCTAATCCTGGAGGTTGAACTCAAGGCGTGAGGGCTACCCCTTAGATTTTTCTTTAAAAAAAATTTTTTTTTATTGTGAAAATACTGTACAGAGGGGTTACAACTACATGGGCAAGATAATGAGTACATTTCTTATCAAGCATTGTAGCCTCCTCCTTTGTTTCCCCTTCCTATCCCTTCCCATCCTCTCCCCTACCCCCCTTCCCCGCCCCCCACCAAAGTTGTAAAGTTCATTTTTTGACATAAGGACTTGTACATCAGATTGTTGCAATGGGTCCACCTGTATCCCTAGTTAAACGATTTGTTTTTTCCCTTCCCCTCCACAAATTATACCAACCTCAAATACAGTGAAAGCAGGGGTTATACCATGGGGGAGGGGCATACAAAGCAACAAAGAAATCATCTTATAAATGTGTTAGAAACAATCACTTGAAAGAAATAAAACATTTGAACACATATCCCCCTTAGATTTTTTGCTTAAGGCTGGCATTCTATCACTTGAGCCACAACTCTTCTTCCAACTTTTGTGTGGTTCATTGCAAATAATTCTTACAGGCTTTTCTGCATGGGCTGGCTTTGAACCATGATCATGAGCCTCAGATCTCAGCCTACGTAATTAGGATCAGAGAAGTTCTCCTGACACTGACTGTAGCCAACACAAGATTAACTCAATACTGTCTCCTTTACAAGTCTGTGACCTCCTGAAGAGCAGGGATCGAGTTTTATTCATTTTGCTATGGTGCTGGTTGGTACTGGATAAACTAATTAGAGATTAAATCTCTCAGGCTCGCGCTGGCAAACAGAGCACGCTGAGCAGACACTAGCTCCCGTCAGAGTTTCCCAAAAAGAGCTCTAGGTGGGAAGCATCAGCAGTTCCTGTGTGCACATCCTAAGAACAAATGCACCATTTCCTGGACGTTGAACAGCAGCAGCAGCCCTGGCCATTCGTTCGGAGAGTACTTACTGAAACCAAACTGGGAACTTAGGAAAAGAACAAAGCCATAAATCGCTCTTTCTGGCAATGGCGACGGTGAATTTTCCACCATTTTCCCAGTGGCTTTAGACAGGTCTGTGGAAAAGGAACACAACGGGCGTCAGTGATTTCCTCCCCTTCACCACTGGTCTGCGACAGCCTCATCTGGAGCCGCGGGCTCGCCCGCCACTGCGGAGCAGAGCTGCGCGCCCCCGCCCCGCGCACCCCCGCGCGGGCGCGCGCACCTCTGCAGCACCAGGGGCGCAGAAAAGGGGGCGCAGAAAAGCAGGAGTGGGGGGGCAGCGCCTCCAGCTGGACAGCCCAGCCCTCCCCGCCCCACGACCGCGCGCCCCGGGCGCCCGCCCTCCCGAGGGGGCTCCTGCTCTTACTCGAGGCGCGGGGTAGCGAGGAGACCCTCGACTTTGGGCCTTTCCAAGTAAGCCCACCCAGCCCCCCTCCCGGCCCACTCGGCCGCCTCCGCGCTGAGTCTTCTGCGCAAGCGCCGACCAGACAGCCGCAGTGGGGTCAGGGAAAAATAAAATACTGAGGAGAAGGCCTCGGCGCGACGGCGCCCCCCACCCCGGGCGCAGGCGCACGAAGACCCTCGTCGGGCGGGAGCTCGAGAGCGCGGGGGCCGGAGGGACGGCTCAGCGGACGCCGCAGAGGGGGAGCCGGGGCGGGCGGCGCGACTGCGCGTGCGCGCTGCCAACCCACGTGACGTCTTCCTCTTGCGCTGCTGCAGCCCGCTCCCTCCTTCAGTCTGGTTGACGTGGAGCGCGGAGGTGGCGGCGGCGGCGAGAGCAGCGGCGGCGGCGGCCCGCGTCCGAGGCTCCCGGGCTGCGGGCCCGAGCGAGTGCCTACCCAGCCTGCGCAGGCCTCCGGCTGGCACCGCGTCCCGTCGCAGCCAAGATGCCCGCGGAGCCGGACGCGCCGCGGCCCCCCCGTGGGTGTGCAGCGAGTGTGGGTGTGTGCGCGGCGGCCCGCCGCAGCTGAAGAGCCCCGCGGTGGCCGCGTCGCCCGGGCGCTCGCAAGGTGAGGAGGTGTGGCCGCCTCTCCCCGGTGGGGGTGCCCCGGGAGCGGGGGTGCCCGGGTGCGGGGCGAGGGCGGGAGGGGCCCCTTTGTGTGCGCACGCCCCCGCCGCCCGCGCGCCCGGCCGCGGGTGGGTGACGCTGCGCGGGAGGCCGCGCGGGCGCGCGCGTGGGTCCCCGCAGCCCCCCACCCGTGTGACACGCTTCGCAGCGGAGGCGTGGGTGTACACCCCCCTTTTGTGCTCCCTCCGCGGGGTTCGCGCCCGCTGCCGTCGCGACGAGGCCCGGGGGTGAGTTGCACGGGGGTCCCGTCGTGCTCGTGAGCGCGTGTCCGAGGTGTCCTTCTCGAGTGTTCGTGTACGTGCGCGCGCGCGTGCGTCACCTGTTTTCTTGGAGATGCTCAAAGCGAGCGCTGGACCACGGGGAGGGGAGGAGGAGGTGTTGGAGAGGAAAAGGGCGGGATGAGGAAGGGAGGAGGCCCGCCCCTCCGCCCAGCTCCCGCGGCCGCTACTGAGCATCCTCCTCCCCGCGGAGGCCGAGGGCTGACGAGGGCCGGCCCCGGGGCAGGTGCTTGCGAGCTGGTACCAGTGCGGGGGGGGGGGGGGGGGGAGGGCGGCCTCTGGACTCCCGCAAACCCATCAATTAGGAAACGCCTTCCAAAACATGTTGCCATGACAACTGCTCCCTCTCCCCCTCCCCCCCAAAAAACCCACCCAACCTAGCTGCGTGATAACCCTTGGTAGTTCAGGGAGTGTTTTATGGCAACCGTGTAAATCTCTTGATTTTGGTAAGGGAAGCAAGATAGAAATCTTACAGATGTTACTGCTCCCTTGGGAGCAGTTTGCTCATATTACAACTCTAATTAGGATTTTTTTTAAATGGCAATAAATTTGCATTTTATGTTAAGGAAGATGGAATTTATTACAAAGGTCCATGATGGAAAGACAGACTCTTTAGGGACTCAAGTTGTATCACGTTTCTGATGGGTTGATGCTTTGCACTCAGGGGCTGCGTTTTGGCTGTTTCTGTCTGTTCTGCTCAATTTCCATACTATTGTCTAATTTTCTTTTTTTTAATTTCTGGATTATTTCTAATATAAAACAGAAACACTTAACCAATCAATGGTTCAGATTTTACAGGTGTAATTGCTTTGCCAAAATGACTTCAGATCTTTCTAAAAAGAAAATAAATAAAAGGTTCTGGAGGTTCCATCTACTCTCCTTATTCAGAAAGCCATGTGTGTTCAGGCCTGTGCTTATCATTTCTTTGAATATTTTATACTTTGATCACAGCGAATCCATAAACAATATATAGTATTGTTTTTAAACGTCAGTGATACTAAACTACGTATGTCTTTTTGCAACTTGTTTTCACTCAGCATCATGATTGAGATTTATATATAAATAAATTGAATTACTGTTTTCCTTGGCTCATTCTAATTGTTGGTATAGAATCAGATCATATGAATATACCATATATATATTACCCTGTTGATGGACTTTGAATTGTTTATAGTTTTTGACTCTTAAGAAATTGTTCTTGGAATAGATATTTTTGTACCTGTCTCCTGTGCACACATTTGGGTTTATCTAGGAAGTTTACCTAGTAGCAGATACACTGGATAGGACAATATATGTGTTTTCAGCTTAACCAAGTATTACTGAAGCTCTCAAAGTGATTGTAGCAGTTTTCACCTGCACTGATAGTGAGAACTCCCATCTCCTCACATATGTGCTAACTACATTTTTTGCCTTCTCTTTACTGACCAGCTTCCTTCCTACTTTAGCTTGCTGCTAAATTTGCTGCAAATTTAGCTTCTGCTTTACTATGGGTCAACCACTCACAGGTAATTGGCTCAGTCTGTATGGAATTTGGTCCTGATAAAATCAATTCCAATGACTGTTATGTACCTAATGTTAATAAGGTTGATGTAAAGATAGGATTTCCATGATTATGTACCTCTAGTGCTAAGTGAGGTGGCTTAGTAAAAGCATTATTTCATATGATGTTTAAATAATCCTTGTTTTTTAATGTAATATGTAATGTGCAAGCTGTGAAGCAAAACAATAAAATGAGCATCTATGAATTTACCATCAATAAAAATAGCCAACATTCAATGTCCTTACTTCTGGAGGTAATGATCCTGAGTTATTCCTTGCATTAGAAAATAATTTTATATCAGATTTTTACATATCCTTCAGTAATATTGTGTGGTGTCTATGTTTTTGAGTAAAAGATATTGGTTGTAGTCTTTTGGAACTTGCTTATTTTACTCAGTATTATGTTTCTGAGTCACCAATGTTAAGTATAGATGTAAACACTAGTTTTTCACTGTTGTGTAATATTCCATCAGTGAATATAACACAATTTTTTAATTCATTCTCCTGTTGCTAGGCATTTTGTTGTTTCTAGGTTTTGCTCTTTTGAGGATTCTGATATACAATACATAGTTGTGAGAATTTCTCTAATTTTCCTCCTTGGGTATATGACTCCTAAGGAAATAATAAAGAGTTAAAGTGTGTGAGTATAAGCAATGTTAACGAATGCATTTCTAGGGTTTTAGATTATGTATGTGCTCTTTCCTAAAACTGGTAATGCTTGAGATCTTTGGTAGCAGTCTCCTGCTGGTTCAACTTTCTCACCTTCCCTTTTGCAGTGGCACTTTACATAAGAAAGGCAAACCTCTTACCACAGGGAAGAACTAATGTCTGTGTAATTCCAAATTGGAAACCTCTGGGAAACAATGGAATAATTTAAAATGCAATACATAGAGTGAGAGGAATCCTCTTTTAGGCTCCTCCATTTCTTTCAGACAGGCATTTCCAGTGCAGTTTTACTTGTTTTTTTTTTTGTTGTTGTTGTTGTTGTTTAATTATCAGTGTGTATAGTTATTTTCATCAACTATGCTAATAATTATAACATTTAAATTATCATCTCAGTTTTGTTTTAAAATGCCACTATGATACTGTAGAAATTCATCATTTGCAATTATTTAATCTTAATTCTGACTTTTTAAAAGCTATTATTGCTACATGTGGAAGATAGGGGATTTTCAAGCACATTTTTGGTGGTTCATGAACAGAAAGTGGTTGAAATACCACTATGGTAAGCTGTTGCTAGAAGTGAAATTGTTGAGTTAAAGGGTGTGAATGTTAAACTTCATGAAGGGATTCTACATTGTTTTTGAGGTGGTTGTGCAACACTGGCTAACAGTTTGTCAATTTTTTACTTCTATCGATAGAATTATAGTTGATGTGCAGCCTCTCTAACATTTGCTAGACTTCTTAATACGTGGCCAGTAAAATAGTAATGAAGTGATACACAGTTGTGGTTTAAATTGGCATTTCTTTGGTTATTAATGAGATTGAGCATCTTTTGTATATTTATGAATCATCTGTGTTTTCTTTGTATGAAGTATATGGTTATGTCTTCTTGCTCATTTTTTTCTGTTGAGTTGTCTTTTAGAACAAACTAGCAACCCTGATCTTATATTGGACACAAGCATTGTAAAGAGTCTTCTAGTGGGCTGGGAAGGTGGTTCAGTGGTAGAGAGCTTGCCTTGCATGCCTGATGCCTGGGTTCGATTCCTCAGCACCACATAAGCAAAAAGAAAAAAGCCAGAAGTGGTGCTGTGGCTCAAGTGGTAGAGTGCTAGCCTTGAGCTGAAGAGCTGAGCGACAGCGCCCAGGCCCAGAGTTCAGGCCCCACGACCAGACCTCCCCCCCCCCCCCAAAAAAAAAAAAAAAGAGTCTTCTAGTTTTGGCCTGGCTTTACTCTTTATGGTATTATGTATTCTGGTAAACAGACGTCGCATTTTAGTGTAATCTTACTGGGAAACCTTCTTGCTCTGAGCTTATGAGGACATTCCTGTTTTCTTTTTAGAAGTTTTTAAATGATAATTCCTTAATAATCTATCTGGAACTGATTTTTCTGTATGATTTTGTGAATTTGTGATTAACATTCATTTTATCCCTCCATGTGGCTCATTCCTGCTGGCCCTTACTTCCAGAGCTCTAATCTACCCTCTCTTTTGCATACATTTCCCCCCCCCCCCAATTTGGTAACCCTGATCTTACATTTATATATGTATTGTAAATATACACTGGCACACTGCTGGTAATGGAGGGTATGTGTGTGTGTGTGAGCCCGTGCACATATGCATGTGTTGGTTCTGGAACTCACAGTCTTTCACTTGGCTTTTGTGCTCACAGCTGGTATCTAAGTTACCTCTTGAGCACTTTGTTGGAGATGAATGTCTTGGACTTTTCTGCCTGAGCTGGCTTTGAACTGACACTTAGATAACAGCTTCCTGAGAAGCTGGGATTATAGATGTAAGCCAGTGATACTGGAATTCTATGGCATCTTCATGTTCATATTTCTATGGGTCTGTTTCTCAGTTGCCTATCTGTGTTAAGTGTTACCTTATCTGTGTTGTCCACACTGTCTTAATTACAAGTGCTAGTTTTATCTGAAATCTTGGTATTTTAGGAAGGTCTTGGAGTCCCAGCTATTCTTACACCTTTAAGCATCAGCTTGTTGCATATTATTTAAAAACCCTTTGGGACTTAATTGGAATTGATTGAGTCTGATTTGGAGAGAATTGAGACCTGTAAGATTTGTTTATTTAGGATTTTTGGTGTTGAAGTTTTGGTATTTTTTTGTGTGTGTGTGTGGTTCTGGGCCTTGAACTCAGGGCCTGGGCGCTGCCCCTGAGCTTTTGTACTTAAGGCTGATACTCTTCTTTGAGCCCATAGCTCCATTTGTGACTTTTCGGTGATTAATAGGAGATAAATAGGAGTTTTCCTATGGATTTTTCCTGGTTAAGCTGGCTTTGAATTGTGATCCTTAGATCTCAGCTTCCTGAGTTGCTAGGATTATCATGTGAGCCACCGTTGTCTAGCTATTTAGGTTTTAAATCTTTTTTTTTTTGTTGTTGTTGTTGGTGGGACTTGAACTCTGGGCCTGGGCACTGTCCCTCAGCTCTTCAGCTCAAGGCTAGTGCTC